TGCGACAACCATTGTCAAAGTCTAGGCTAACAGATCCCCAAAGTTTTCAGAATCTTTTCTCTTTTCACTTGAAAGCCAGAGGCTCGCTTCTCTCCGTCTCCCTCCACCCACTTTGTGCCAAGCAGCTGCGACTACATCAACTACTACAACTCACTCCCTTCCTTCCTTCCTTCCTTCCTTCCTTCCTTCCTTCCTTCCTTCCTCCCCCCCCCTTTTTTTTTAGCCTAGAAGAAAGATTACCTTACCTCCACTTTTTCCTCCCTTAAATGTACCCTTCTGGCCAGCTGTTCCCTGGTGCCCACATCGGGGTATTTGGTTTCCTGGAACAAGTTTTCCAGCGCCTCCAGTTGTTCGTCTGTGAAGATGGTGCGGTGTCTCCTTTTCCGCCGACAGTGGAGCTGGTTAAGAAGCTGCAGCTCAGTCCGGGACAAGGTGCCCACGTTCATGTAGGGTAGGATTTGATGCGGGACCGGAGACATTAGGACCGAGCCTGTCCCTTCGTAGCCTGGAGAAAAGAGCAAACGAAGGTGGCAGACCTTTGAATTGGCCAAGTTTCCGGATCGCGCCACACCCCATTCCAGTCCGCCCCCGTCCCACGCAAAAGAGCAAAACCAGAGCTTGCTTGGTTGGTTGCTGGAGGCGGCGGATTGATGCTAGGGCGGGTTTTATCGGGGCCTTTCGATTCTGGACTCATTGCTGGGAATTATGGGGTGGGGGACGCGGAATCTCCCGCTACCACAAAGCTGAACTTGTACCATTCACATCGGTGGAGACGGCAAGGCAGGAATGTGAAAACTCTCGACTTGAGGAATGTGAAAACCCTCGACATGCAGACCCCTCTCTATCTTAGCCCTGGAGAAGCTCCCTAAAGTTGCATCCCAAAGATTTCATCCCCTCCACCTCACCCCCCCCACCCCCGCGAATGATTTAACTAAGGAGTTCACTAAAGACACGGGTGGTTATTGCCCTAAATTTATCCTTCCAGTTACGTAGAAGAGAGTGAGTTGCGTTTATTTAAGGGGCTGAAAATGTACATTTTGCAGCCACTTCTGCTATCGAGCAATAATTAATCCCACTGAATGAGCACAAACCCCAAAGTGAAAATTACTTTGTAGGAAAGAAACCCGTACATTTAAGACGCTACATTCAAGTAGGAGAATTGCTACTTTTTGTGCCAGTTTAAAAAGTTCTGCAATGGATCAGAAGGTCGTCACCGGACTTGGAGAAAGGGAAGAAGAGCTGATTCCGAGTATGTTTCTAGAAAAGACCCAACCGGCTTCCAGGGTTGAGAACCGGTCAGGGCAGAGGCGAATCCAGCTAAATGGAGGAGCATCTCGATTTAAAGTAATTTCCTCCCTATGGATTTATAAGGGTCTGTGGGGTCCTTGATGCTCTCTGATATCGGTTGTTTTCTTGCAGACGTTTCATTCCCCAAGCTAGATAACACCATCAGTGCTAGTAGGGAGATTCCCTGCTAGCTACTTACCTAGTTTGGGGAATGAAACGTCTGCAAGAAAACAACCAAGATCGGAGAGCACCAAACACGCCTCTTTTCAACCCTTAGCTACAAACATTCTCCTTTATTATAAAGGTCTTTCAATGTCAACGGTGAGTCTCAGTCACCCGCGTCATTGTTATCCCAAAGGTGCTTTTTTTCAGGAAGCAGCTGGGTTTTTTTTTTTTTTTTCTTTGAAGACGTTTGGCTTCTCATCCAAGAGCTGAAGAAGCATCTTGGGTTCAAAGAAAAACAGGAAAGTCCAGTTGCCTCGTGAAAAAAGCACCTTTCAATTTTGTGGCAGCGATGTAAACACCATCACCATCATCTTGGCACAAGGATGGTTGGTCAGCGCTATAAATCACTAATGAGATAGTGATTTAAATATTTAGAAAGGTCATCCTCAGATCGGATTCGCTCCTATTTCCCCCCTCCCCACCTATTTTAATGCAGGGTGAATCTGTTTATATTTTGTTTAATTCTCGGTTCTGGGTCTGCTGCTGCTGCTGCTTCTTTCAAGGGCATAGGAGCGTTCTAAATTCTGAATGTATCTATCTGAAAGTATATTCCATTTAATATGTTGTTTCAAAGGAATGTTTGGTTAGGACCGGAAAGTTAAAATCGAATTAAGGAGAATTAGGGTGACTGTTTCAGAAAGGAGCAGCTCAGTTATAACTAAATGTGTAACCTTTGCTTATTCAGTCCTTATTTCAGTAGGATTTAATGCCCGATAGATAAGCCTTGAGACAACTGTGTCATTAAGCAAGGCAATTTGAACGTTGTCAGAAATATTCCCAAGGAAAAGCGTGGGCTGCCTTAATTTCAGTTGCACGCATTTGTCAGAGCGCGTAAATACAATCGTGTCAGAGAGGAAACCAGCGCTAGTCCCGGTTCTCAAAGTCATCTGGAGTCCAGGTCGCCTGGATTTAGGATCCAGCGTCACTTCCAGCCAGCGCGAGGGACTCGACCGCAGAATCCCAGCGTTGCGTTGCATTCCGTCACACGCTGTCGCTGCCGCCGGCAGCCGGGAAAAGGAGGACGGGGGGGGGGGGAACCTGAGCACCGCGCCCTTCCAAATTTCTGCGGGGGAAAGGAAGTTTCAAGTATCTCCCCACCCTCGGCCACAGAAATTGCGCCTCTCTGTTACTTTCCTAAGAATTACCTGAGGGGGGGGGACAGGATTGAGGGAGGGGAAGGGCAATCCGGAAGGAATTTTGCGTTCTTTTTATTTCTCCTCTCCCTCTCTCCTCCCCGCTGGAGAAGGCCCCCAGCATCGCGGAGGAGCGGGGCGGGGAGTGGGAGAGGGCTAATTCTGCCTTACCTGTTGCCGGGACGCAGGAGCACTGCTGAGCGCCGAAGGGCTGCACGGCGCCGCAGCAAGAGGGCCCCACCGCCGATGCCTGGACGTGAAGTTGCCCGTAGTAATAGTTGCCGTAGCTCCCCAGCCTAGATCCACCGAGGGCGGCCAGGTTAGACGCCGGAGCCACGGCCCGCGAGTAATATCCGCCGTAGTCGCCGCCGGCGGGGCCGTACAGGGAGTCCCCTCCGTGGAGGCTGGCCGAGAAGACGACGGGCGCCGCGCTGGGCTGAGACTGCTGCGCCGCGCCGGGCTGGGCTGGCTGGTGCTGGTGCTGATGGTGCAGCAGCCCCGACTCCTTCCCGCGGGGTCTGGCCGCCAAGATGCTGTCGATGCTGAACATGCCAGCGGGCATCCCCTCCGGCGCTCTGCTCGGAGGGAGGAGCAGCGGCGGCCGCGGCGACGGGACCTTCGCCTGGTAGAGGCCGAGCGACGTGTGGCCGGAGCTGGGCCGGCCGGAGAGCCCCGGGGCTACGGGGGGGACGCGAACCTAGCTTCTTGGGAGGAGGGGGGCGCGGAGGAGCCCTGCAGGGCAGCCGTTCCTTAAGAGGCCGAGCGGGGGGAAAGAAGGAGGCTCTTCGCCTTGGGACTCCGTGCCATCGTCCTCCCCTCTTCCTCTTCCTCTTCCTTCTTCTCCTCCTGCAGCTCCTCCTCCTCTTCCTCTTCCTCTTCCTCCACCTCCGCGGCCGACCGTTTCCTCCTCCGCTGTCAACTGCCTGGAGTCTCTAATCCGCTCCGACCTCTTTCCTTTTTTATACCCGGGCAACGTCATCCTGGATTGAATTCCCGGCTCTAGGTCGGATCGCGAATGAAACTAGTTTTCCCTCTTTGGGCGGGGGGAGGGGAGCGCGGAGAAGGTCCTCTTCCTCTTCCTCGGCCTCCGCGGGGACCGGGAGGGGGGAGGAATCGGGAATAGAAGCCTTAAAGAAAAGTCTCTAATCCGCTCCGACCTCTTTCCTTTTTTATACCCGGGCAACGTCATCCTGGATTGAATTCCCGGCTCTAGGTCGGATCGCGAATGAAACTAGTTTTCCCTCTTTGGGCGGGGGGAGGGGACGCGGAGAAGGTGGGGCCGGTGGGCGTGTCGGCAGGAGCGCGGGGGGAGGGGGAGGGGGGAGGAATCGGGAATAGAAGCCTTAAGAGAAAAGACGCGCCATCCCGGCCCTTAGTGGGGTCGCCCTTTGCTTCTAGGCTCTTCCTTGCTGCGGGTGAATCCCTCGCCTGCCTCCGAGTTAGGGCTGATCTCTTTCTGAGCGTTGCTGCTCATGGCCGCTCGGGTTAATCCGGGTAATGGCCTTGTCGAGAAGCAACTAATACCAACCCCCGCCGCCCCCTTTTCTGCCTCCTTCCCCAGCCCTCTTTCCTTCCGAGCCTTTTTTCCTAGGGTCTTCGGCCTTCAGAACCCAAAGCACAGTGGAGGGAAAGGCGAAAGGTTTCGCCGGGTCCGGATTTCTCGCGTCTGTACTCAAGAGGTCCAGGGTTACATTGCACTAAACTAGTCTTGGCGAGAAGCTGTGGTTACAATTCCCGAAAAGAAGTTCTCTTTTGCTTTGGAATACCTTGCCCAGAATGAAGCTTTCATTCCCAGACCTTCCAAAACGTTACAACATTTGCCTCTTTCGCACACCCATAGTCTAAACACAAACACACACACACACACACTTTCTACAACCGCCAGTTCACAGTATTGATTCTGGACGTTTTTATTCGGAATCACTTTGTCTATTCATCTCGAAGTCTTGGGAATTTCCTTCAGACGCTCACAGGGCATTTTCTGATGATTTCAGCGGATCTCTCTTCCACCCGGGGGGGGGGGAGAAGAAGGCTTCATGTCCAGAAAGCCCGAGGGGTACGGGCAGACTGCAAGCCTCCGGTCCGAAACACTGCGGACACTGATCCTACTGCAGTCGTGTATAGGGCACAAGTAAGGCGCGCAGGCGTTCGTGGCGCAGGTTTGAGCGTCCATCTTAACGCCTCCCAGTCCCCCCACCCCACCCTTCAGTCCCAACTGCAGGATGGTGAATGGTGTCTAGGAAAAACTTTGGGGTTTATGGGGCGCAAGGGTCCGCCCTACCCCTGCCGCCCGTCTGGCGCAGTAGCAACGTTGCGCCAGACACCCCTTCAGCGGGTCCCTGTCTTCACATTTCTTTAGGAGCATCCGGTGGAAGAAGAGATTCGGTTTTTCGGGGGCAGAGAGCAACCCCCCACATTTCCCTGCTCTGCCCAGATTCATACGTGTTCTGGTTCTGCCTTTTACATGCGCTTCACCTTCTGTGGAAAAGGTGCCTTTCCGTCCGTTAGAACCTCTTGTTTATGGAGGCCCTTCGCTCCTGGAAGCCGGTTCTTTGTGATTTGCAAAACGCTCCGTCTGTCACGATTGTCTCTGGCAATCCACAGGAGGGGAACTGAATCAGATTAGAATATTTACCTCCATCAAAGAAGGTAGGAAATTGGACGCGCTAAACAAAAACAAGCCATTAGGAGCTGTTGATGAAGAACAAATTAGGTCCTTTTTTTTTTCTTTTCCCCTGGCTTTCTAGTCTTCTTTTTCAACCTTCCATTCTCGATTTTCCTCAATCTGAACAATGAACGAGCAATTTGGAAATGAAATTGGAAGGGATGGCGGAGTGTGGGTTGCCCTTTTTCTTGCCTTTTCTTTCTCCTAGACTTCAGTCCAGGCTATCGATAAGCATACGGGCTGAAATCAGTTTAATTATGGTCTACGGACAAGCATTGGATTTATTTCAGTAAGTCTAAATAGGAAAGAAATAAATCTATTTGCCGCGAATAGTTAGCCCATCTAAGCAGAGAATTTTTTGGTGGAAGGAAGGAAGGAAGGAAGGAAGGAAGGAAGGAAGGAAGGAAGGAAGGAAGGAAGGAAGGAAGGAAGGAAAAGGAAGGAAGGGAAAGGGAATGGGGATGGGAATGGGAATGCTACGATTTTCAGTTTCTTAACTAGCAGGATTAACTATCGCACAATAAAGATGCCTAATACCTTTGTTCTATTCCTATATCTGCCGGGAATGGTAATCGCCCTTTCTCCAAGATCTACCTTTTGACATTCGCAGATAAGTTCCATTTTACCGGCCCCTCCTCTTCCCCACTCCCACCACCAGAGAATCCATAATATTTGACATGAAATTCTGGGCTAGACGCATCCCTCGACCCTGGAAATTTCAGGCAGCTCTAAACCCTAATCTCAAAAGCTCTTTACACCAATGCAGGCAAGTCGCTTCTTAGCGCGGGATTAAAGATGCAGAACCAAAAAAAAAAAAAAAAAGGGGGGGGGGGAGGGCAGGTGCGAGAGAAGTCTTCTCTCCCCCCAAATGTCTTGTTCTCCTTTTGCAAAGTGGCCGGCCGATTCGCAACTTTGAGTCTCTCCCCCGCCCCCATTACACTTCCCGACGCCGTTTGCTCAGGCTTCCCAGAAACTGACTTGTCGGCCTTAAGAATCAAACCTTTCCCCTTCCCGCGACCAAAGCGGTCTCTGGAGCAGCTCAGGGAACCAAAAATAAGCCTGGGCGTCGACCTGATAAATGTTATACCAACCTTACACCAAAATAGCTACAACTTAACCGAAGTCCTGAGTGTGCGCGATCTCTGGGGCGCTTGGCTGGTTACGGAAGGGTTCGTCCAGAGAAGGGATCGGCAGTTCCTTCTCCTTTAGATGCTGTTTCAGCTCTGGCTCCAGCTCGGGCAGCGGGTCCTTAGGTCCGACTCTGCCCAAGAGCCCGACGCCTTTTCGGAGAGGCGAAGACGCTTGTCAGCCCGAAGGCCGGTCAACAGGGCGCCTGGGGAAGGCTTCCCAAGAGGACGGGGGCTAGCCGTGGTTCTAACGCCCAGCGCCAACGCCGAGGTCTGCCGCGCTTCACGTCCAGGCTAACCGTGTTCAAACAAGAGTCATAATCCAACTATTCCCCCGCTATAAATGTTGCCCGCGGCAGTATTTATGTACTCAGGAGGAAAAGCGAAGGATCAAAGGTCATTTGGAGAAGAAATCCGACTATAACTGTAAAACGCTTGGTAAAAGAAGCAACTTTTTGAGGAGGACGCGCATTTGATCCGGGGCATTCCTCACCGCTGAGCTGCCATAGACCAGATTAAAGCAAGAAATCAGTTTACGTCGTTAATCAAAGTTTTGATTACGGCTTAATTAGGGAGGGCGTAATCACTCCCTTCTTGTGAACAGTACCGTTGGGCAGAGGCAACGGCCACCGTTCTTTGCGCCTACCGGTAAAACTAGAAAGCTATCCAGCCTTCCTTACAAACCGGTTTAGGATCGCGGCGCCGGACCGGCAGCTCTGCCTCTGCCTTCTTCTAAGCAAGCGCTCCAGCATTTACTAACAAGAGTCCAAGATAAATGCTACAGAAGTCGCTTTCTTTAGAAATTCCCAATGCTTCCCAACCTTTTTTGGGCGTTCCTTTTTCCTTTTTTTCCCCCTTTTTTGCTTATTTTAGCACCGGAGTCAATATTAGCTACAAACGCAGCCCCAACTAAACTCTTTTGGAGTTAACAAGGCTCTTGAGATCCCAATCTCTCCTTCGCTTTCTTTTTAATCCTTCCCCTCCCCGGCCCCGTCTACCGCGGCTACCTTTTGGTGATGAAAGCTGCTAACCTGCGGCCTCTACCTCCGGGAATGGGACGGACTCTGTCCTTGTTTGTCTGGGCAGCTGAGCAGCCGCTGGACTGCTGATCCTGACCCCCCCCCCTAGTTTAACATCCATAGCCCCCCCCCCCGTACTGTCCAAAACCCTTTGAATGGATGTGGGTGAACTTATCCCAGCCACCATTCCGCCTTTCCGCTTTCGCTTCCCCCATAGTCCCCCAGTTCCGAGTTCCCCTTCAAAGAAGCCACCGCTTATCTCACTGGGAAGCGGCAGGGATTGGAATCGCAGGTGACAGCGGAGCAACAGCGCGCGTTGCTAAGGGCCGGCATCTTCCCGGGGCCGGCGGCCCAGCGTGGGTCGGGAGCGGCAGGCACAGCTTGTCTTAAGGTCTGGCGGCACAAGCCGGGAGGTAAGGAAACAAGTCGACGCGCGGCTGATTTTCGTTATTAGGAGCCAAACACGATTCCCCGCCCGCAGGTCCGGCCCGGCGGACGGCGAGGTGGCTCGGCGAGACGCCTCTCGCTTTCTTGCCAGCCAGATGGAGGAGAGCGAAGAGCCGGGAAGAGGGCTGCAAATCGGGGTTATCTGGTTTAAATCGGCGTTGAACTGCAGAGAGGGTTGGTTTTCCTCTCTTCGGCCCCCGTTCGCCACCGATTATGCAACGGTACGCAAGTCAACGCAAGGCTAAAACAACTATTATTTCTTTTAGTAGCCCGTCCGGTATCCGTTGGAACCCCAGTTTTTATTATAAATCGGATTAAAGCCTGAAGCCGCCGTTCCCAGCATCCGCATTTAAGACAGTTGCCACGAAATAAGGGCAGGACACCGAAAACTGGCGTGCCTTAAAGGGTGATTTTAGTGTATAGGTGTACCGTTTGTGTAAAACAATAGTGATCAAAATGCTGCTACCCTCCGTGTCTAAACTGTAGGCAGGGGATCAAGGAAAGCGGAGTTTTGGACCCCATGTGTAAATCGGTCTGCTTCGGATAATCTACCCTCCGAGCGATGGAAATGGGGATCCACTTCTATTAAGAACCCCGACTTCGGAGTGATCAGTTTTCACGCAGTCTTTTAAACTCTTTCAATCCTAATTTGACTCCGATACGAGAGTGAGAGTC